TTTTCCAAGCGCACCCAGAATCCCATGGCAGCGTTCCACATGGCTGAGACGAGGGCAACGTTTGTCACGACATCATCTTCAATAGCGGCTGCGCAAGAGGAGGATAGACGGCCACATGCAACGCCAAGAGTCGGCCTATCATGACGGCCTTGCCTGCACGCGAGAAGCGACCCCTCGAACCAACTCAGAATGGCACGTCATCCCTGCGTCGCATCGGCATGCTGGACTTGCTGGACCAAGATCCACGACCTACATTCGTTATCGATACATCGCCAGGTAGCCCGAAGTCCGGAAATGGATGCCATTTGGAGTATTGGAATTCGGCCATGGCCGCCACCGACCCTGGAGGGCTACTGCAACTACTAAGCCGAGATGGTGGTGCGTACTCTGCTAATGAAGAAGGCTATGCCCCATTTACAAAATTTCGAAGCTGGTCTTTGACACACGACACGTCGGATAAGCCGTTCCTTTATCATGGGTTCAACTGGATGAAGATCCATGTGGCTGGCCGCTGGAATGTCATCAGCGGTCTTTTGGCCACCACATGCACCGGCAGTGAGGGCTCTGGGATGACCACTCTCACCCGAAAAACTTCTAAATCAAAAGTACCAAACTTTGATTGGACGGATGAACTTCCTCCTCTGCGGTTATCACGACATGCAGCCTGGGCACGCAGCATTGACTGGGCCTCCACTCCTCTTGGCCCGATGTCTTCCTGGTCGTCGCAGCTACGCAGTATTGCCAATCTTGTCATGCAAGATCCACGACCAGCAGTCGTTTTCTACGGTCCGGATCTGATCATGATCTACAACGAAGCAGAGATAGAGCTGTTGGGTGGCTTCCACCCTTGCATGGGAGTCAGCGCTCGCGTCGCGCTTGCTTCAGTCTGGGACCAGTATTTTGAACCCATCATACAAACCAACCTCGCAGGAGAAACCGTGGAAAAGACGAACACCTCGATACACATGGTACGCAGCGGTTTCATGGAAGAGACGTACTTCTCCTTAAAGTTCATACCCATATTAGATGCTGAGGGTATCACAGTTGGGCATTATGAGCCCCTGGTAGAAACGGTATGTTGCAACTTTTCCACTTTCACCGCATGTTTTGGTCCCCTGCTCCTCCAGTGGCGCATCTGACGCTACGACGGATGAGGATGATGTTCTTGGAAGCATGGGCTCTCGCATCAATGTGCTGTTGCAATTCTTGGGAGCCATATTTGAAGCTGCAAAGTCATTTGTGCAACCCGCTGACAGTCGTGTAGACTAGACAGGTCATTGCACAAAGACGCTCGCGCGTTCTTCTAGAGCTAAGCGAAGAGATACCCAGGGCGCGCAATACGGATACTTACTGGGTTCTCGCCACCGAAGTTCTATCCCGCAACGATAAAGATATTCCGTTCGCATTATTGTACTCGGCTGAAGCAGACGGGCATGGGTCCGAGTCGAGCAGGACGCGCTTTTCTGATACGAACCAACAACACTGCAAGCTTCGTGGCTCATTCGGTCTTCCTAAAGGGTCGCCCGCAGGTCCAGATCATCTAGACTTCCAACAAGACCATGGCTTTACTCCATACTTCCGCCAAGCTCTTACTGCCCGGAAGCCGATCATAATTCGGTTTGATCAGGATCCTGTAGCGGCAGCGTTGGTCAAGGACGTTGAGTGGCAGGGCTTCGGTGATCCCTGCCGAGCGGCAGCCATCTGCCCTCTAAACCCGACTTCTTCAAAAGACAATATCCTTGGCTTCATGGTCATTGGGCTCAATCCCCGTCGGCCATTTGACGAAGATTATCTCCAGTTCATACTGGTCGCCAGTCGCCTACTTTCTACCTGCTTAACATCAATTTTACTCCATGAAGAGGACATTGGGCGTCGAGAACGGACTATCGCAAACGCGGAAGCAATGAAATCGCAGCTAAAGGAACAGTTGACTCTGTCCCAAGCGGAGTCTGAGCGCAATTTCTCAAAGTTCAAACGGTTCGCAGAGCGTGCCGATATTGGCATCTTTCTCATAGGAATGGACGGGGTCTATTCGTATAGGAACGAAGCATGGTTTGAGATGCTTGGTCCAGTGGATCCTGCAACCGATCTCGCTGACGCGTGGAGTAAGCTTATCGACGACGACTTCGTCGAGATGGGACAAGCAAAGTTTGAGGAACTTGTCGAGACCAAACAGCATCAGTAAGTGATATGTACGTCATGACGTATGACAAAGCTTACTGTAGCCAGATCATTTGAGTTGCGTCTCAAGAAGAGGTGGAATGCGCCTACCCAGCATATGGATGATACATTCCCCGAACAGGAGCCAATGTGGGTCATCACATCCATCTTCCCTGAGCTCGATGAAAATGGAGAAGTAGTAGAGATCATCGGTTGCTGTACCGACATCAGGTACGTCATTCCTTCATCTCACTATGCTTAACTAAAGGCTTCGAACAGTCAGCAGAAATGGGGAGAGAAACTTCAGGCTACCCAGGCGACGAGGGCTCGAGAATCTAAGCGCAGTCTGGAAAACTTCATCGACACGACATCACACGAGATGCGAAATCCTCTGTCTGCGATCGTCCAGTGTGCAGATAGTATTATCTCGGCTCACAAGAACTTCAGCAAGTCGACAGATTATCAGAAGGTCTACCAGACTATATTGGAGCATACCGTTGACGCTGCCGAAACCATTGTCCAGTGCTCGAAGCACATGAAGACTATTGTGGACGACGTGCTTACCATGTCTAAACTGGACTCAGGTCTATTTGTAATGACCCCAGTCGATGTCAAATTCGACTCAATCGCGAGAGACGCGGTGAAAATGTTCGATGGTGAAGCCAAGTCAGCTGGCGTGGATTTGCGATTCCAGCTCGAAGAGTCATGCAAAAAGATTGCGGTTGATCTCGTTTCGCTAGACCCTACAAGGGTCTTACAGATACTTATCGTAAGTACGTGAGACATATTGAGGTGCTTTGGCTGACAAGTAAGAACCTTATCACCAATGCGATCAAATTCACTCGACTAGAAGAGATACGCGAGATCAGGGTCAGTCTGGGCGTCTCCCTGAAGCAGCCGACCCACAGTTTCAGCGTGCCATTCTCCCGTAGTTCGGAAACATCAGAAGCAGCGACTCTACAAGCAGATTGGGAGAAAGGCGAGATAGTAAGCTGTTGCTCAAGGCGATGTCTCAGGTCCTCCACTAACGCAAAAAGGTCTACATCATCTTCTCCGTGCAGGATACGGGTCGTGGCTTGAGTGACGAAGAACATCAGCTCCTTTTCGCACGCTTTTCGCAAGCGTCTCCGCGCACACATATCGACTATGGTGATTATAAACCCCAAAGGCAATTAACGACTTACTGACGTATTTTAGGTGGCTCCGGTCTGGGTCTCTTCATCTCACGAAAGCTTACTGAGATGCACGGCGGCGCTATCGGCTTCGCATCTAAAGCCGGCGTCGGAAGCACATTTTCCTTCTACGTGAAGAGTCGTAGAAGCACTATCCGCCCCAACTTTAACCGGTCGGAAAGTGATGCGGCCGTTAGCTTAAGCATACGTGCGCAAAAGACGCTGCTTTCAAGCCGATCGCGCAACGAATCGGACGAACCACCCCAAACCTCCGCTCCTGCGAACGACATACCCAACAAAGACCTGCACGTCCTCATCGTCGAAGACAACCTCGTAAACCAGCGCGTCCTGGCCAAGCAGCTACGGAACACGGGTATGCAGGTCGCAGTCGCGAATCATGGTGGAGAAGCTCTTGACTATCTGCGCACAACAAAGTACTGCATCTCCGATGGCTCTGGGAAGGCACTCGCACTCATCCTGATGGACTGGGAGATGCCTGTCATGGATGGTTTGACATGCGTTAGGAACATCAGAGAGCTTCAGAAAGAAGGCGTTGTTAGAGCGCACGTGCCGGTCATCGCGGTGACGGCTAATGTGAGGAGCGAGCAGGTAGAAGTGGCGTTGAAGGCGGGAATGGACGATGTGATAAGTAAACCGTTCAGGATACCGGAGCTTTGTGCTTGTATACAGAAGACGTTGAGGAATACGGCTAGGTCATAGTCGTAGTGATTTGGAATAGAAATTACTACTCACAAAAGTCGTTTGAAGCCAACGAATGATCAGGCCAGCATGTCGCCAAAGGTCGCACCGCCACCGCGTAATCGCCGGAACTTCGAATTGATTGCATGCTTTTCATCTAATTTTGCAGAGCGCGAAAGAATCGGTGAGGCGATACTCGATGTTTCCAACGGAAAGGCTGTCCGACGGAGACGGCAAACATCGTGTCTTGCTAGCGCCCTCGACACTCGCAACCCGCCCTCCGCATCACCACTCCGCAAAGGTACTTCGAGTCTGTGCATTCACACGCTCAGCGCATCAACACAGTCTCGCCATCAATCACGAATCCACGTGCGCCATCTTGAACATTCCAGCTCACGCAACCAAGCTTCGTTGAGCCGCACGCCCTACCTGGATAGGGCGCGGCTGAACTAACCACCAATCCATCTCTTTCTTCCAGGCACGACGAAACATGCAATTTTGCGCAAACAGCAACTATGACACACGAAATAGCCTTTAGAGGTAACTCGTGTGTCAAAGACAAGAACGTGATGGTTGTCGCAGTGGGACCCTGCGGTATAAAAAGTCTGTTGAGGCTGAGCCGACGCCAGCCGACAACGCCTCTCACCACGTTCTCCTGAGAGCCTCGCGGGAGCTAAGCGGTTAACGGAGATCATGCCATGTACATTAGCTATTCTTGGGGTGATTCTGGTCTGAAGGGGTTTAGTCAGGGCAGATGCGAAGGGTAATGTAATGACGTCTTACGGTGTGTGTCCTGTGGCTTCTAGACACTCGGTGGTAACCAGCGCGAGGCGATGCTACCTTGCTAGACCCACATGTGCGACCTTTGCGAAAAATCTGTCACGGTGCACGTGGAGTGTGTGTGTTTCCAAGATCTCACGATCGTTTTGTCTGGTGGTGGGAAAGGGAGGAAAATTTCTTCATGGTGCCATGGGGTATATAAGGGGTGGGGAGGTGGGTTGGGTGGAGGAGCATCAGCATCAAGGCATCATCAAGTCTACTACTACACTTCCATCTTCAACTTCAATACCACCAAACTCTTCATACATCTTGGCTTTCATCAAACCGAACGACCGGCCACCAAAATGAACAACTTCGACTGCCACCCGCGCGTTCTCTCGCTCTCCTCCGCCTCAACCCCATCATCTTCCATCCCCACAACTCCCTTCTCACAGTCTCGCCGCCAATCCCACGAGTCAGCACACGACGCGCACCACTTCGTCAACCAAGAAGAGAAGACTCAGCACAAGCTCAACCTCAGCATCAAGAAGATGTGGGAAGGCGTCAAGAGACACGCTGTTGAGCACCACAAGAGCGTCAACGCTGCCTACATGGCTAGCTATGGATGCGGTACTGCGACTGCAGTGAACACTACTGGCGGAAAGGCTTTGTAGATGGTGTCTCGGCCACGAGAGTATATGGAGATCTGGACGAAGACTAAGAAAGAGGAAGAGGAGGATACAAACGACAATGCGATAACGACCAAAAGTGGATTTCGAGCGACAAAAGTGGATTTTATGGTGCATTATACCCCGACGAACGATTTCGTGGCGCCGAGGAGGAGCTGAGACGGTGGCTTGGATACTGTTGTAATATCTAATAACATACGTGAAGACTTTTTTTTAGTGTTGCGTTGCTCTTGCCGATGCCTACGTGATAGCTGAAGCGATTGAAGCCAAGTGTAGATTCTACTGATCGTGTACAAACGCCTGCGCACCCTCAGAATGTGATGAAAGAAACATTATATGAGATACTCTTAGTACTCGTCGTCCGACTCTTCCTCGAAGTCAACCTCTCCCTCCTCCGCATCATTCTCTTCTTCTTCAGTCTCATCTTCATCCTCATCCATTATAACACCCAATTCTCTTCGCCCCGCCGCGTATAGTGTCTTGTCTTCCTCTTTCAATTCCTTCGCAGTCCTGCGCATTGTCGGAATAAGAACGTCGATGACGAAGTCTTGGAGCTTTCCCTCGAAATGGTCGTGTTGTGTGATAAGCTCGGGGACCAGCTGTTCGAGACGCGCGCGTAGATGTGCGTCCTCATTGGTTATGCGCCGAAGGTCCTTTGGAGAATACCGGGGGTATGGCTGCTTGGTATAATCAGGATCGTCCCAGTGCTCGATGCGGCTGATGTCGCAGCACGTGTGTCGTATCTCCAAGTATGAGAACACGAACAAGCGGATATATCCATGGATGAGTCGATGGAGGCCGAGAGTAGTTGCCGCTATGTCAACCCACAGGGTCAAATCGAGGAGGATCTTATACTCTTCTGATAACCGATCATTTCTATATATGTTAAATTCCATCTCTTCTGCCGGTTCGTAGTATAGAAACAACTCTTTCCAAAAACTTGACAGAAAGTCGCACCCAAGGCTGCTACATGCACACTTGCAGCTATCAAGCATCTCTTCTTGCGCGAGAAACTCGAAATCTTCGTACGTCCAAGATGCTTCCATCGAAGGACCATCAGACACATTGTAGAAGCATTTGTTTCGCAGATATTGAGCGGACTGCACAGCCAAACAATGTAAAGCAGTGGTGTTCGTTCCTGGCCATGTCTCTTTAAAGTTCGCGCCTCTTGAGATGAACCATTGAACTGTCAGATTACGCTCAGTCAGACGTCCTGACCCTGTGCCACCATATATGGATTGAGTGGCCAGATAAACCAATGGAGAGCATGCCGTTTCCTTATTACACTTGAAATTCTCTTGACTGATATCACAAATGCCGGCCAGTTCCAAAACCTCAAATAGTTTGAGATTATCGAAATTCCACTGCTGTGGCATGTAATACAGGCTCTTCCGTTTTGGCCACAACCTTCGAGGCACGTCAACCCCCTCGCTCACTAGTGCAGTGAGCATACAGCTTACATGTGCGTCCGGTGAGCTTGTTCGAGCGCGTGCACAACAATGTTCAAGTTCATGCTTTTCCATCAGTATTTTGACCTCGTGCCTTTGCTTGATGAGATGACTTGAGGCGAGCTGTATAGCCTCGATTGTGGTGACTTCAAATGTAGTCCCCTCAGCGACATGAAGCGCATCCTCAATATGGCCAATCAGACTGAGCAGTGGTTCATCACACGTCTCCCTCTGTGACAACCAAAATTGCAACATGTCCAGTCGATTTAGAGCGGCTGAGATCGTGAGTAGACCTCGACTGGAGAACAGCACGTCGGAGCTGGGGTCTTCCAGATGTTCAAATAAGTTGGCATTGAGCAGGACTTTGCAACCATCCGTCCAGCCGATAACGGTAGATATGATCAGAGCGTTGGCTAGTGTGTCGACATCTAGAGCGGGTAGGTACTTGGGTTGATGTAAGAACTCCTGGAGTTGATGGTCAGATTTCATAAAGATCGCCTCCAGTAAGGCGCTGTCGTCTAGTAATGGGCTGGTGAAACTTTCGTAGGGAATCTCGGCCAAGATTGATAATCCGTCGTTGCTTCTGTACGATGCCGTTTCGTAAGTATACCGTGTTATCTGCAGATCCTGTTCGAATAGCGATCTTAAGAGACCTATGTAGGCGTCCCTGTTCTGGGCGGGGGGGTCATATTCCCTGAGAGTGTCGATGCATGTACTGTCCACGCTTAGCGTTGTCACAATTCGAGGTGGTACGATAGCACCACATAATGTCGATTAATCTCAATAGAACAAGGGCCAATGAGTACTTACGCTCCTCTGTCGTCTGTCTCGAAAGCCTCACTTAGCATTAGTGGAAGGAGAATCTTGAACAGATAACCAAGGTTCTCAAAGGCATTGGCAAAGCCTTCGGTGCGATCCTGAAAGCTAACATAGATACAAACTGCCTATGCTGGAGGTCAGCTTTCAGTGCACATCGATAGGGACTGCAAACGTGCATGTAGGAGCGTCATTCCATTTGACAATCGATCGTGTGGTGACGCTTGTCTAAGCTCGAATATCTGTGACAACCTGCCGACCTCACCCTGAAATAAGTCTGGTGGCATATCCAGGTTCGACTTCACAAGTGAGTCAACGAACACGAAAGCAGGAGATTCTTGATCAACAATTCGATGACAATGCAGACTCTGCGTAAATCCAGCGTTGCTGAACCTGGTGAATGAAAGTGAAATTCTCCTCTTTAGAACCAGACTACACAGGGTAGCCTTGAACTGTAGATCGGTTGATATGTCCGGTAGCGAGTAACGAAGACACCAACGGTCATGATCAAACTTTTGAGTGTATGCGAGAGTCAAAAGTCTTGATATATATGCAAGTGCAGAGGTCTGTGGTTGGCATGTACATGGAACTGCGTCGGAACGTCGTTGTAACTTTCGCGTTTTTCGCTGAACGCCCCTAAGGCACACCAGATCGTCGTCCAGTGTCGTGCTTTTCGCTGATACAGCTTCCAAAAGTTGTGCTTGGAAGTTCCGAAAATCGGCATGAAGACTTTGTAGACTGTGAGAAGTGGCCGAGAAACCCGATTCGAGCATGTGTGAATGTCCAGCGAGCTGAAAACTTGTCGCATCAAATACATCGCGTTGCAGCTGTAGATTCGAGAAGTGATGTAGGCTTTGGTCCACGGATAGCTGGGTGTAGTGCAACCGAGCATTTTCAGAAGCCAACCGCTGTTGGTCGATGACGAGGGCGAGTAGCGCAGTCTGTAGACTTTGCTGTATGGTGTTGAGAGCATCTTTCCAGTATGTAATGTCCGCTTCCTTGAATGGAAAAGCAAGCCGCTTGGTCAATCTCTTCAAGCTTGACTTGATCCCGCTGTTCGCTGCGTGGTCGTCCGGTTTGAGCTTCTTTCTGATAGTCGCGATCGCATTCGCACACGACACGATGCCGGTGCGTGTTGCTGAAACCGACTGGGAAGGATCCACTTTCCCGATGACGGTTTCAAGTCGTTCGAGAAGGTTTGCGAGTTCCTCCGTTTCCGCGGCGATTTGTTCAGCCTTGTTCTTCGCTTCTTTGACGCCACTGAGGTACCATTCCAGGCCTTTGCAAACCTGGATGGCGAGAGAAACGACACCGACGGCGCTGCCGGTGATGGAAAATGGGTCTGCCATCGCAGACCTCGATGCGCGGAACGTGGATGGAAGGAGAGAGGAATGAAAGCACACGAGAAGAGCGGGGCATGAGGGAGGCTGAGGCTGAGGCGCAGCGCGTGCATGGCAGGCTGGCAGTGGGCAACCAGTCACAACGATCTCACACTCATCGGTGGAGGGTACATGTGCAGCCACCCTATCATATGGTATATCCCGCGGCGATGTACTGCATGGACTGATCCGCCTATCAAAATAAAATGCGTGTATTCCAGTATGCCCTATGTGCCTATGTTTACGAGAGAAAAAAAAGAGCCTCAATGCTGCGCTGCCAGAGTTCTTTGCTCCTTATTCAGACGCGGTGAATCCTCATCGTCGTCATCTGAGTCGAGACCCTCCAGTTCAAACTCCTCAGCGTCTCTCACTCTACGATCGACCCTTGTGTATCCATTGATGTGTCCGTTCGCGTGACCGTTCGTGAGGGGCGCCTCGGCATCGGCTTTGTCGTCTTGTTCCCAGGTGTATACGGCGTAGAGGTGGATGAGCATATTGACGACTAAACACAAGTTAGCTTGAGATAGTACGCGGAGATCTTGCGAAGGCTTACAAAGGAACAGCAAGAAAGCAATGCTGTAGAGGATCAGCACGTAAGACACGTGCGTGACGTTCGCGTCGGAAAGCAGCTTCATCTGCTCTTCGGTGGCGCCCATGAACATGAATCCACCAGCCATGAGCAGGAACGGCGTCAGGTACTGGAAGCTGTTCGGGTCTGAGCCGTCGGTCGCGACAGAAGCGCGGTCCTTGAGCACAAACGAGATCTCGATGATGCGTGCGGCACCTGCGGCCATGAGGGTATAGCCGAAGATGGTGTGGATCATGGTCGAGATTGGCAGATGTTGCGGGTGCGCGGACATGGCCCAACCGGTCATCAAGATGATGATACCGGGGATAAGATTGCGCTTCGGCTGTCCATTGCGCTTTCGGCTGAGCCAGACACCGACCAGTCCGGCAGCCCACCATACGATGCCCATAGATGTGTGCTGAAGGTCGTTGTGTACCCACGGCCCTCCCCAGCGGTGTTCGGTGAACGTGTTGACGCAACCCCAGGCGGCGATGACGAGCGAGTCGAAGAACTCCTGGCTCCTTCCGGTCCTCCGCAGCCACATCTGTCCTACCAGAAGTAGAATCAGGAGAATAATGCCGTATGCGATGAAGGCGCTGCCCATAATGAAGTGCGCCAGACATTGTCCGGTGTGGTCCGCTCTGCAGAAGCCGAGTGCAGTAATCCCTCCAAAGAGGAACTGCACCCAGGTTACCACTGGCATAGCCTTCCCAACAACACCGTGCGCCTTCACTACCACACGCCGTATCTTCCCATTGATGCCCTTCTCCAGGTGTAGCTTCAGGTAGATACCCATAGCGACTTGGGATACCAACATGAGCATGATGACAGGGACGAACTGGGAGTGGATGTTGTCGGTGAACTGCCTGCCCTTGTGTCTATGGCCGAGGAAGTATCCGATGATTGCGAGGACGGTTCCGAGGGATTGTACCGGGACGTGCCATTTCGATCGTATTATCTAAATCTGCCGTCAGCCCAAACTCTTCGGTCTTCATATAAGGTAACTTACTCCTAGTACCATACCAGTGGGGAAGATGATGCCCCATGCCACCGTTTGGATCAAGATGTGCGTCCATAGTATTGAGTCCTACATCGACCATCAGTCTTGCTGCCTCAACCAGGGTGGTCGAAGTGTCAACCCACTATTGGGTCAGGTGATATGGCATCACCATCTGGGATCGCATCCATATCGTGGTCGTGAGCTGTGACTGCTGCGGTGTAAAGCAGCGCCGCAAGGACCGCTCTTGTAGGGAGGCCCATTTCGCCGTGGGTATTTCTGAATAAGATTCGGGTCGCTGCAGCTGGCGCCGCGAGCAGATGATTATCGTGGAATCTGCAGCGTTGAGAGTTTCACAATAGCATCAGACGCGTGCTAAGGTGGGACCGAATGGGGAGGCGAGTGTGTTCGTTGTTTCCCTTGCAGGCGTTGTCGCAATCTCGTGCTTACGTGAACAGAAGGCGCCACCGTCATTGGCTTCCGCCACACTCCGACCGGGCGATCAACACCATCATCTCCGACACCATCGTCGGTCTGCAGCTTCAGCTTCGCCATTCACGACATGACTTTCGAGAAGGGCGTCACCGAAATCGCGGACTCGGATGATGATCCGATGACGTCGTCACCTGGTGTTGTTCCGGATGAAGCGGGCGACAAGCATTGCGCAGTGTCCAACGTTCCGTACCAAGAGCGACAAGACGCGTCGCGCGAGGCAGATGGCCTCCAACAAGCATTCGCCGAACGCGATGCCAGCACAACTGAAGTCTTGGGCGCCGATTCCACCAATTCTCCAGTTGATGTCGACGCGTCGAGAATTGATCAGACTAACATGATACCCAATGAGACCACTGCAGCGCAAAACGAGGAAGGAGCGACTGTAGAAGGTGGCAGCCACGGCCTGGGACTCCACACACAAACATATCCACAAAAGCCAGTATCGACGACCAGAAACATGTCAAATGGGCCTCAAGTGATGGTCGTTCCAACTGAAAACGAGGATCCAGTTGCCAAGGATGTCGAATCTGATTCCTCAGCCCGCGGTGACGAACAGCAGCCACCTGTAAGCCATGTCAATCCATCTTCTGCCGAACAGGAAGTACCTGAGGCTATTCAATCCACATTGGCGGATGTGCCGTTGAAGGTACCAGGTGTTACTGCTCTCGCTCCATCAGAGGTCAGCATCGATTCTGAGTTCCCAAACGGGTCAACATGTCAATCGCAAAGTACTGTCACACGCGCCAGTCCGCCCCATGAGTCGAAATATGATTCGGGTCGAGCTGTAAAGCATCATCCGGTAGATGGGCACATGAGCGACAACGTAGTCTGTCCTAGATCAATACTTTGTAAGTTCACGCGCTCACATACGATAGGACCATTCTCGGCCGACCTCAACAGCTATCAGCATGCAGCCGAATACGACAGGGATTGCATTAGGCTCGTCAGGCGACGCAGGCCCTGCTGCGACCATGCCGGACGACTACACCAGCTCCACGCTCCATAGGGCTCAAGACACTGAATATACGCCTCCTGATGCGCGAATGTACATCAACACTAGCGAAGCTGCCATGATCGAAAATGGATCTAGCTCTGAGATCGGCCAGGAACAAACTGCCCGAAGTACATCCGCGGACCAACAACCATCCGCAGAAGAAGTGGCATTGCCGAAAGAGAGCGCAGGCTCAAGTCTTGGTGCTAGTCCACCAATTGCTCGACTATCTACGCATGCCCAACCACACGCTGACGCCCAACGCTTGTCATCGCCCATCCCAATGCCTCCATCGAGAACACCACAGGAAGTCACTCTTGACAATCTGAGAGCCCAAAAAGCTGCACTCTTGGCCTCTCTCAGTGCCCTTCCAGCGATCCAAGTGCTGATGGAAGAGAACGCTCTTTCAGATGCCGAATCAGGCGATGCTAGCGATGAACCTACTGAGACCGATGTCATGGCAGCCGCAAACAAAATCGTGAAAGAGCACATCAAATTACTACACGAATACAACGAGTTGAAAGATGTGGGTCAGGGGTTGATGGGCCTTATTGCGGATCAGCGGGGCGTACGGATAGTCGAAGTTCAAGAGGAGTTCGGCATCGATGCGCAGGACTGATCGCAAGTTTACCAGTGTACTGCGAACGGCAACGGGAGCGAGGAAGCGATAGACGACGGCGTGAACTAGGCGTGACGGGCGCAGAACGAACACGGCATCTGAGTGTCAAATAAACCTTATACTGTATGTACTTCCTCTTTCGCTCTATATGCAATCTGCCGTTCTCAGGCTACACACCACTGTCCCGTGCCTAGTTCGACTGCCCGCTGATCCGCCACGCCAGGCTCGAGGCTCCAGCTCGCCGACTTTGCCAATACCAGCTGATGCCTGTCTCCATCAACAGACTTGGTGGCGATCCTTGGCCTTGACACATCTTCCGACGGACCCCAAGTACAGGTGGACGCGATGAGATCAATTGCGCAATACAAGCGCATCCTCGGTCCATCTAAGATACGGCTCATCCTCCAGATCTGGACCGGGCCTCTCGAAGCCCGCTCTCTGCGGGTAGCGACAGACTTCGCGCACGGGCCGTGAGCCGTGTCGCAGGGACGCGTTTGGCCAGATTGCCGGAAACCGGAGAAGCACCGATTGGAAAGGAAGAATTCCAGAAGATTGGATCTCAAAAGACTACGCCACATAGGTTTTCTTTTGCGACCTGCAGAATGCAGATATCTTTTCGCAAGACTTGGGTCGCAGATTATGGTCAGCTGAGCCGAAATCCTCATACGATGTTCCATGACTCTGCACATTGCCATTCGGTCAATGTCGGCCACCAACACCTCAGCATCACCTTGGACGGGAATAATTGCAACCATCGTCTTGAATAATTGCGGGTCTTCCTCGGTCATACTCGCACATGTAATCAGGGGAAGCGACGGAAGCTACAATCGTGCCCCGAATACACCAGCAGAGTCGACCCCATGTATCGATATGGTCTCATGCGAGTATCAGCATTGTAGGCGTACCAACTCCGTCTCAACCGCCGGTGAACATCAAATGCAGACCTTGAGCCGCAGCGCCCAGCTTTCTGCAATGATTGCAAGGAAGTGGCAGTGTAGGGGCGCTGTTCATCCGTCTGAGAGGTCGACTGACGAAGTGGCGGTGCAGATTCTGCGTCTTGGTGTGGAGTCAGATGTCGCGCATTCATGCATTCGCGTTGACGAGTTCCATGAGCGTTGAAGATCCGCGGCCCCACGCAGGAAGGCAACCTTGGGAAAATCTTGAGTATCCTAGCCTTCGGAAGTATTATCGCGACATCTATGTTTATCATCACTTACATGTCATGAAGTCGGCGACCGTCCACTACCCGATGAGAATAGTAATCATCTTCAAGACGAACAAAAGCCGATATTCCTGTTACGTTCTACGATACACGTCAGCCGTGTAATTTTAAGTTTAAGATGACACTTACTTTCGGGTAGGAGACAGATCTAACTTACATGTGGCGCTCTGAACGTCGGAGGCCAGAGTGCGCAGTGTCCCGCTGGCCGATACTAAGCTAGGAAGCCGGTCCACTCCGTAATGCACGTCTACTCGCAAACGCAAGCGAGGGTCCTTCGGAACACTTGGAATTACTAGCGGGTAACATCTCCATGTGGTGATTGGCAGCTAGAGCATGGCAGGACAACCCAAGCCGCTTGCTAAGTTGACAGCTCCACGGTGCATGCCGTCCCGTCCACTAATGCCATCCTATTGCTAGTCAGTTACCCATGATGAACTTATCGGTAGTTTGCAACGTGCTTTCTGGAGCGGGCGTGCCTCCTTTCCGGGATCAGTGGGATATATGGGTGTTTTGGAGACCCTGAGCCCTTCTACATCAGGATCTTTCTGGCCGACTTCTCCTTCCCCAACCTCGGCGTTACTTACACCACACAATGTCGGCTACCGTCCAGGACTTCCAGCTTGCTGCTCTGGCTGCCGGCTTCACGATTGGGTTCGGGTTCTTGACAGTATGGGAGGCCGTCAAGCAGACACGGCGAAATCACAGCCCTCTCCGATCAGCCTACATTTACATGATATGGGGTGAGATTCTGGTCAATGTCATCATCGGTATCATCGGATGGCTGTTCTTGAACGATGTACTCGGGCCGACGTGAGTTCCCTGGCACTGCAGTACACGACAAAGAGTCGACGCTGACAAAGACTACAGTGTCCCCGTTCTATTCTTCATCCTATTCTTCTGGGTATGGGAGATCCAACTGCTCATGCAAATCATCATCAACCGCATTGCCCTCATCGCAGAACACCGAAGTACCATCCGCAACCTCAAGTGGGGAACAGTAGTCTTGATCACCAGCATCAACATCGCCGTCTTCTGTATTTGGATCCCATCGCACACCGTCCCACCAATCAGCGAAACCTTCGTCAAGATCAACAACGTCTGGGACAAGGTCAGCAAGGTGCTCATCCTAATCGTCGACGCAGGCCTGAACTGGTACTTCCTGCGAACCGTCAAGATCCGCCTCGTCGAACAACACGGTCTCACCAAATACGCGCCACTGGTAGGCTTTAACGGCAAGCTAATGGTTGTCTCCATCGCCATGGACGCCCTCCTCATCGGTCTCATGTTCCTCCAGAACCAAGTCGTATACGTCCAATTCCACCCCGTCGTCTACATGGTCAAGCTCAACATCGAAATGTCCATGGCCTCCCTCGTCGTCCGCCTCGCGCAAGGCAAACCCCAAAACGATATGAATCCCGAAGAATTCCACAGCTCCTCCGGTCCCGATTCGCACTCCCGCTCAAACGCACGCTCGCACCAACCGCACTCGGTCCAGCTGACCAATCGATCGAAACGCAACACGACAAACATGCGCAGCGCGGGGCTGAGCAAGATTGATAGCGATGAGAGTTTGGAGCTGGGTGGTATCCAGTGTACGACGGATCTACGCATCACGCATGAGGACAGGAAAGATTATATTGACAGGAAAGATTTCATAGAGGGCAGCTCGAGGAGTAGCAACGACGCGCCGGCGCCGAGTGTGTTTGGCGATGAGACGCCCTTGAAGCAAGGGGCGAGGGTACGAGAGAGGTCGATGTGAAGAGTTTTTTCGTTTGTTTTGTTGAGCGGTTGTAATTAATGATACCCGTGGATATGTAATCACAATTGGTAACTACAAGGCTATCTCCATACACCAAGTGACGGGGCTCATCGTAAGCTTGTAGTAACCAGTCTACTCACTCACAAGTCGGACGTCTAGCCCTCTCATCCATTGCAGGTGCCAGTTCGAGCTCTTCTCTCCCCACTGGCGGCTTTCTGGCCCGTGCTCAGCTCTTCAGCGCGTGCGCTCCGTCTTCACTCTCACTTCAGCTCAGACACAACAATAGGACTGCTGCCTATTCTTCTGTCTCGCTTATCTCGCTGCCGGGAGTTGATCCGGAGGCCGAGCGCACGTATATCAATATCGCTCCACCTCCGCAGTCCAACGCTTCTACTCCCCACCCGTTCGCAGATAGATCCCCACCACAACGACTGCCAGTACCATCACTGCCTCTACGCACCTCTTCTACTTACCTTGGTAAGGTTTCTCTCGCGTTTCTTTTGCTTTACCAGTCCTTTCCACTGTCAAACGTTTCTTCCCTTGTGTCTCAACTCATTTCCACCGTCTACCTTTCTTGTTTCTTTTGTCGCCAGCTATTTACAACGCCATATATACTGCTCACACTTACTACTCTTCGCACCCCGAGTCGTTTCTACTGTCATTTCTACTGTCTAACCCTTACTTAGGTACTTAGTCACCCACCACGACACTGGCTTGCTTTCGACTTCGCCACCCTCAACCGCGATCGGTTCTATCCTCGTTCGTTGTGGTTGTGGAGATCATCGTGATTTCAACAGAGGATAGTACTAGAGCAGGAGTGTAGGACTGAGCTTGAACTCGCGGTCTAGATCTGGATCTGGAGCCTCTGTTGTTTTGCTCTCGATTAGAAGTATCGTCGCGTATATGATCAAACCTTGCTGCACATGTAGACCAATCAACAACATTTCAATTGCAACCAAGCAAATTCCTCTCATGTATTCTCCTCGATCGTGATGTTGCTGGTTGCCTAATCCTCCACATGACGTCAGTCCCGCCTCCGCACGCGGCGCGACTACCTGGACGCGTCGAAATCATTCCCGCCACACCATCATGTCTTCCTCAGCAAACACTGCTTTCAAAGCGCTTATATCACGTTGCGACAATAATAGTCTCTATGAGTACACGTCGCGCTTCATTCCAGAGCTGGCTCTCCTAGGCTACACAGATGTAGCAGCGCGCCTGATAGGCAGACTCAACAACTATGATTTCTACCACGATCGACTCGGAAGCCTTCGGCCCCTTTGGTTCCTCTGGGATTTGCGTGCGAAGGAAGATGGTGTGCCATGGCCGGAGGGAGAAGAAGATAAAGTGCGCCAGGCTGTGAGGGACAGACGAGCCAAGACTAGCAGCGACGATTCTCGAACGAGGAACGACGAGACAGTAACACCAGAGGACTTACAAGAAGAGCTGAAACTTATGGCGAAGGAGTTCGCGTCGAAATGTTATGACCCGACTGGAATGCTAGGTCCGGCTAAAGCACTCCACACCTATCCGCTTGATGACCCACGCCTTACTCCTCGAATGCTTCGAAAGGCGATAAATTCCATCCATCACTTTCAGACCGGGCGTCTGGCATCTAATATGCGAGACGTGAGAAGCGGGCTGGTGAACATGCTGGACCTGGTCTTATCGGCTGAAGCAAACCATGAACAGCCCGGGATGGACGAAGCACTACTTCTGTCGGGCACCCCGCCATCCCATGAGTTATTACGCTGGCTAGCGCACAGTTTGGGAGAACGTTCCTACGAGACTCAGCCGGCGATGGAGTCCAGGCAGGCATGGAAGTTGTATAAAAGCGGAGCGCTGAGACAGCAGCTCAACATCGATGAAGCAGCGCTCGCAGCCTTCGCAAAAGACTTCGAGAACGCTTTGAACGATCGACTCACGAACGGTCGAACTAGAACGAGAGCAGATATTTCCATGCAGGAACTCTTGAAAGCGACAGAATACAACACGAAATACAACGCCGAGGCCAGAAAAGTTAATCCTGAGCCCCCCGAAACCTCCCTCTTCCAATCCCCAGCCACCGACTCGCAGATTAAAGAAGCCGAAGCCAGTCTCAACACCACCTTGCCAGCCGACTACAAGACCTTCCTCCGCCTCAGCAACGGCTTTGGTTCTCCATGGGGCCACCCGCTAGGCGACCTCCAAACACCTCTTCACCCCGTCGACAAACTACGCTGGCTCGACCCCGCAGAAGAAGACTACTTCACTAATCTCACGCTCGACCTGCCCACTCGATGGGATAAATGGCCTTTCGCACCCCCTCCAACTAAGAAGGCCTATGCTTGCGACGAAGTAACAGAGCATTTCCTCATCGGTCGCGCATTGGAGATCGGTACGCAGGAGATTGACAACACATGGCTTCTCCCGCCTTCTACCATCACGCCGATAAAGCGGGCGGTGAAGAAGATGCTGGACGACGAAACACTGGGTGAACGCGAAAAGAACAGTGTAAGAGCTGCAATCAAGGATTTTGCGGGTAGCGAAGAGGAGTGGGAGCAGATGAAGTGGGCGTGTGTTACTTGGGCTAGTGGAGGGGTGGCGGCTATGTATGTTTATCCGAGTTTTAGGGCGTGGCTTGAGGATGTTGTTGAGAAGGGGAGGGTTGGTCTGGATGCTGAGGAGGGAGAAGAGGAAGAGAAGATGTTGAAAAGAGGTATGTGGTTGGGGAGAGTGTTTCAGAATAAGAAAAGCGCGGACGAGTCGGACGCGGAAGAGCTGCCGGGGTGGCTAAAAGACGCGATTAAGGCGGCAATGCCAACAAGAAGATGATGAGCACGAGGAGATGTAGCTGCGGAACCTGTAGTCCATGTCGCGGAAACACAGCCCAGGCTAGAGTAGAAACTGGGGCTTCTGGACTTTTGGCTTGGAACCAGCTCTCTTTGTGCACGGTCCGTGCTCTCATGTGACGAGAAATGGTGGGTATAAAAGCCTTCGTTCCTCCTGCTTCTTTCCTTCTCTCATCACACAATTCCACTTCTGAAATATCAAAAAGAGACTCGCCTATCTCTATGGCTGTCTGTCCTGCGCTTTTCGGTTCCAATACTCGAGAGGCGTGATGCATGATCGATCTATCACCCGAAAAGGTCCGCTGCCCTCGATGATGTGCAGAGATCTACTCTGAATGTCATAAGTTTGAACTCATGGTTCTGGCTTTGACGTCTTTGAACAAGTCCTCATCAAGGTTCTCACTCAAAGAAGCACGATGGCATTGTCATGAGCCGCCACTGCCTTCCAGACTCGGTGGACGCCAAAATGATGGGCTTTTTACAACAGTTTTGGAACAAAAGGGCCTGCAGCAAGCTCATGAGTATGGTCCACCAAAAACTTGAACTAACCGCAGAATGACTCTGGGGCGCTGGTCCGGTACATATACCGCTCTTCTTGGGTCGTTCTCCTACTACATCGACATCCTGGGCTTGGATCGAAAAGGAACATGGGAAATATACATGTCCTGGGCGCCTCCTTCCTCTCTCGAAACGTACTCTCTCTTATGCCATGGCTGGAATAAAAATGAATAAAATCGTATGCATCAGTTGCTATGGGCACTTCAGATCTACAGTTGCAAACACTCCCCCTTTTTCCGGAACAGCGAAACGTCATGGCTATTATACATGGACCAGAGATTTCGTCGTCATATTGCCGAGAGTGACAAAAAATAGGGCTTCGTTACATTGATGAACTTCTTCGCTGCCCCCGGCTGCAGGAATTGTGTATAAAAACGCCTTTCATACCTCACTGCTCTTCTCTTCTACACCTCACAAGCTTTTGCTTCTTTTCCCAAAAGAAAATGTCCAGCGTCACTATGTAATGTCTGCGTCTCCTTCTCTCTTTCGAAATCATGCGGAAGTCGTAGCATGTCTTTGGCCTGGCTCTCGAAAATCGCGTGTGTCACGGCCATGTCTTTGGTCGCTGGAACAACAAGTTACATCGAGACACTCCCATGGAAGCGTGTCTAAGATCACAGTCCAAAGACAAAACTCTCCCTGCTACACTCCAAAATCTACACTCTTTCTCCGAATCAAGAGTGCACATTACGATGTCTGCTCCTCCGCTTCTTTCCTAAAGCCAGTCAAAGCTCGTCTATGCGTGTGGATATGTCACTGTCAGCCTACCATACTGTAAAAGCAATGAAAGCATAAAAGCTTCACCATTCAAATGACACGTTCCTGCATCCTAAGGCATACGACCTCTTCTTTCCTTCGAAAACTACAACACATGAAGATATGTCTGCGGCTGACGCGTCTTTCTCAAAAATCGATATGGCGTCGCCATATTCCTGAAGGATTTGGCCGATAAATGGGGAAGAGTGTAACGATGTTCATAATCACCACTGGTTCAACTTGATGTGTCTGTCCTTCTTTGGACTTGCAGCTATCCAAATGATCGATAAACAGAACAAGTGCGCTCTGACTTCTTTGAGCTACGCTAGAGACGTATTTAAGACTGGCGTTTCTCTCCCTCCGTCTATTCTTCCGATTCAGCCCTGCCTCTATGTGAAGAACCAAAACATATAAGCCAAGAGATTATGAGAATTGGCGAGGCCCAAAACTGCGAATGAGCGGCTCAACGTCTGGCCTACTTCCACTATTTCCGACCTATATTAGGATAACGCTTTCCTACTATTCCTTCTACGCCTTCTTCATCATCCATTACTGCGTGCAAAAGACCAAAAGCATTTCTAAGGAAACTAATGAGAAGTGAGAGATCAAAAGTCGCAAGAGCAAGAGCAATGTCCGCTCTCCGCCGCGCCCAGCTATAAAACCGTATAAACATCAGCATATGCTCTTCTTTCCTCTGCTTTCCTACAATCTATACCCGAGATACCTACCAAAAAAGATCGGCCACCAGTATATGAGAAGCAGAAGACCAAAAGACTCACTCTTACTACTATGTGTCGCGCTGAGCTATAAGACTGGGCGTCTTCAGACTATGCTCTTCTCTTCTTTTCTCATACTCTACATCTAAACTCAATGCAAAAAGCCTGCAGGGTTTAATCGCATGAGAGGTTGAGAGCTCGAAAAACAATGTTCTTCATCTGTCATGTCGGAGTTTCTCGGAACGGGCTACGAAGCATATAAATACCCCTTCCTCTGCTTCTACTCTATGCTTCATCAACAAAACTTCCTTTTTATGATACCAAAAGCCCGATTCAAAGACCCGATGAGAAGACCGCGGCCAAAATGCTAAACCCGAACTCTTGATGTCCTTGCTTCCTGTACAAAGCAGACATATAACAAGCCTTCTTCCTGGTTCTTCTCCCTCTTCCCCACCGACATTTTCCGATATCTCTTCTCAAAACAGAATCAAGCCATCGCTATGTCCTGAGTTCGTTCGGACCAGAAAACTAGTGCAGGTCCTCCCATGTTCTGACCTGTGCGCGCGCGGACCAAAAAGAGCATTCGATCCTTCCCACGTGTTGCGCTCTCCTCATCCGCAAGTCGATCATGTATACACCTGAAGCATGGTAACAGTACATTCTACAGCGTGTCAAAAAAAAGTCATCAAGTAGTTGGGATGTTTGCGTGCGCGTCGCGGGCTCACACATTCGAACCCGGACGTTTGTCGGCAGAGTCACGTGGTAGTGACGGACAGAACATATAAAGCGACCTTCTTCTCTCTCGATTACTCTTCCTCTATCCATCACTTTCCCCAAAAGACCAAAAGCTTTGCCATCTCGGCCCATGAGAAGCAGACGACCAAAAGTCAGTAATCAACAAGGCTATGTCTGACTTGCTTCAACTTCTAAAATTGTGGCCGACAAGAAAATGTTTTCTCTCTTCCTCCTCGCTGCTTTTCTACAGCCTAATTTCCGAAAGATCATCCAAATCATCAAGCAAAAAGGACATGAGAAGCGGTTCCTCCCGAAATAACATATCTTGCTCGTCATGGGCAACTCGCTTAGACGTGGCCTACCAAAGATCATATGCCTGCAAAGAATGTTCTTCCGACTGCTCAAAAGAGTGAGCACCCCCTTTGTGACAGTAGAGGCATAGGCCAATCGTTCATGAGAGGCGGGAGACCAGAAAGCTATCGTCGCTCAACACATGGCTGTGCTGCTCGCTCGGGACTAGGAGGGGTATAAAAGCCTTCTTTCTACAGTGCTTCTTCCTCTCCTTAACTCTCTGGCTATGACTTTATTATCAAAAAAAGAAGAACCAGGGTGTATGAGAGCAGAAACAGGGAGACCAAAAACAGGATCCGTGGGAGACCATGTTCTGAGCTTTTCTGGAGAGAGGTTTCCAACGTCGGCTGACGGGGCGAAGTGCGGCGAATTGATGACATGTCCAAAGAAGTTGACTGTGTCCGCGATGAGAACCGCCTCCCCTGTTAAGTGGACCAGATATCAATCATATGTTTGTTCATATTACGCATTACTTCGTATCAAATCTCCCATCCCCACTCAACCAGGTCGTCTGACCTTCTTCAGCCTATTCCTCCAACCTCTATCCTTCCCACTCTTCCCTTCTCTTGTATCGTTCGATGTGTCCGCAGCCTCGCCTTCTTTCTCTCTCGGATACCCGTTGCCTGAAGCACTCGGTTCATCATCTCGATCCCGAGCATCGTCACCATGATTTCGTTCCCACATCCCCTCCCCCACAAGCGTTGCCTCGCGACTAAGCGGCTTACGACTCAGCCTTGCCTCCTCCACACCTCTCAGGTATCTTTTCCGCAATTCTTCGTCGCTGAGGACGTGGACAGAAAGATCTGTATCCGACCTAGCCAGCGGTCTGATCTCCGTGTCGTCTTCAGTCGGAGAAGCTATCCATGCTTTCTCCTTGCCCGCCGACGCAAACGTAGGAGTTGGTGTCGATAATAGTGGTGTAGGTGACATCGGCGTAATGGGCGACTTGACAGCCCCGTCTGTATCCGTATCTTCAAGATCCTGCAAAAATAGCCCATGTTCCACAACCGTCCCTCTCGTCCCCTTCTTCCCGTATAGCTGCCTGCCCAACGCCCTATTCTTCGCACTGATAAGATCCTTCCCGCTCAACCCCGTGCGCCGCCTCGCTGCGACCGCCATCGCAAACGCCGCGCGCAACGGCGTAAGTCTGTATCCCTCCTTCACTAACGTGGAATTGAACTGCGCGTCCTGCCACAGCACGTACATACTAAGCACCCAGGCACTCGTCACAAACATGAACAAACCAGCCATGAGTGTCGAGAAACCCCATTGATAGGTCGGGTTGGCGGTGTCGGGGAGGCAACGGCTTCTCCCTATGAGCGAGTAGTACTGATACCCAATTCCATTGTAGCAGTACCCGTAGTCTCCGACTAGGTCGTCGGCGTTGTACGTTTTGCCACCCACAGGGACGGAGACGCTGGTGTTGCAGAGATGAGTGATGGAATCTTGATTGTAGACCTTTTGTTCCGTCCAGGTCTGTGTGTTGTTGGGGAAGTCGAAGGTGCAATTGAACAAAAGATCGTCGTATTGATTAAACGAGGTGTGTTGCCAGAGGTCTCTTTGTTCGGCGGCGGTTACAGTGGTGCCGTTGGCGAATTTGCAGTCACCTATTTTGTTGATGTTAGTATGTCGAAAGATTCTCGGAGCAGCGGTTGGATGATGGGTGTGGGTATGTGAGGGGCAAGGTGGAGGACGGCGACGTACAACTTTGCCGTCTCTTATCCGTAATGTAGCCATAATCACTCTGCAATTCGTAGTCCGCACAGCCTGGTTGCTTCCACGTCTCGTTCTTGGTGCCCAGGATAACCCACGCACTTGATAATTGGGAAGCGGGAATGATGTTGTTGGACCCGTCGATATCGAGCCACGCGATAGACGTGCTGTCGTAACCTGTCATGGCGCCGAGGACAATGGGTACAAGAAGCACGTAACCCGTCGACCAAAACATGTAGAAGAACAAAACTCGCGTCCGTATACTCTTCGCAGTCCATAGCTCTTTCGTCAACGCCCATAGACAGTGCAACCCGGGCCCTTCCATAGCCATCCTCTGGAAAATGCTGAAGCTCGCCGGATGTCGCTCGATCGCGCGTAGTAGCGCGTCGCAGAAGACATTGTACGTGGCCCACCACGCCAATGCCTGCGCGCCTTTCCCGATAAGCAAGTCCCAGAGAATGTCTATCGTCTTGGCCTGTGAGAAGGTGAATTGGCCCCACGTAGCGTCCAGCGTAAATAGTTTCTCTATTCCCGTCACCGTTGCATTCTGAGGGTCTCCGCCGATGGTGTTTCCGCATGACAAAGTCTTGTCTGCGAAAATGTATCTTATCGGTGTCACCGTGCCCGCTGCAAATATGGGCAGGATGACCCAGCTGAGTAAGAGGAGAAAGGCGTAGAACTGCTTCTTCGACCACCGGAAGTGTTTCCATAGCGGTGCATTCTTGATCGTCCGCGCGGTCCATTTAGTCGCGTGCCAGATACTCAGACAGGCGTCGTGCAACATCCAGGTCCAGCGTACCTTCCATCGCGGTTCCGACAGCCAACCTCGCGGTGTGCATGTTGCCTCCTGCACGCTGTCATTACCCCAGGTTTTGACGCGTTCATGCTGTATTGCAGGCTTTCCTTCCGAGAATGATTCTTGCGTTGAGTTGACAGATGTACACGCAACTTTGATACCCTCCTCTTCCGCAGTCAAAGCCTTCTTATCATCGTATCTCAACGCCGCCATCTCGTATCAATGCCAGCAAAGGCGACGCGAGATCGCGGTTAGTGCATTCGTATGCGCAACTCGGTGTCGAAGAAGCGAGGACGGTGGTGGCGGAGGGGGGCCAGGGAGGTAGTTAGGCAGCCCACACGTACGCAGTTCGCATTCGTCTCGAGGAAATGGAGAACCGTCGAACAAAAGATATTCGGCGAGACCTACGCGTCGCGGGATGCCTGAGCGCAATTACCCCGGGCTAGACCCGTTCCTTCATCGGTTCGTTGCTTCGCTGCATGGATGCCTGTGCTATGGCTGCAGGTGTCGTCCCGGAGAGTTAACACCTGTGCACGAGCACGGAAAGAACTCCTACTCTTCCCCATCATCCTGCAAGACATCCTCCCGCAGCAAGCCACAGTGGTCTGTAAACAGCAGTGGAGCTCTCCGTTCATTCGATGGCGTGTGGCTGCACACCAGAATCGTGTGCTGTCGTGCAACCAACTCGAGGAGCGCACGACGGTCGTAGGAAGAATTGGGTTCCCCAGCACGATGTGAGGCTGTGTACTTCTTCACTAGTCCCAGAACAGCTAGCTTCAGGGACATCTCCTCGGCTAGTCAGGAAATGCCCTGCACTTTTCAAGGCAGACACGAAGTGAGATGGAGCCCAGCTGCATTTAGCGGACCGGCGTAACATGGTAAAAGCTTAAAGATCGACAGACATGAAAATGCTATGGCGAGCCCCTAGACTCTGCCCACGATGTCACCGTCACCAACGCTATCCATGCTCAATCAAGGAAATTCACGATGCATCAACGACATCAACGATGGATCGAGGACATCAACGTCGCTAACGCTATCAACTATCAACCAACGACATAGTGCTCGTTCCTTCTCCATCGCCTAGCTTCCGCTTCCGTCCGACGAACCACTGACGATGAGCAACCAACAACGTACAGCTCCCGCAATCGATACCAACAACAGGACTGTGGTGTTTGATCTCGAGGCATATGATAGCTTCGACGATGATGAATGGAAATTTCCTCACGACATCACCATCCTCACTTCACATCCTCAATCCAACAAATCCATTCCCTCAAATACCAGTATGAATAACTCGGAGCACCAGGCCCATCCCCTCAAGGAGAAAACAAATAGAGAACCCTTTATGTATACATCCAAAAACGCCCATTGAAACACACGCACATCCCCCACAAATACACTCGTCACCTCTCTCCATCACAACTCACACTGAAATGATCACACTCAACTCCCCACAGGCGTCCCACTCCGACTAAGCACACTAGCCGAACTATTAGTCCGCAGTACTGGCGTCGCACTCCTACTGCGCTCTCTCTCGCGATCCCTCTCTTCGGTTTTGACTCGCTCCCGAGCCTCCTCCACAAGACGCTTAGCCTCACGTACATTGCGCATGGTTCTGCTAAGCTTGCCCTCTTTGCCATCTTGGATTTTCTGCAGTTCACCTCTCGCTTCGATATCCTCTTTAGTTTTAGTAACGAAAGACTTGAGACTGACTTTGATATTCTGACGTAGATCCTGGCCCTCGTCGAAGATGGCGTCGCTGTCGCGGATGGATTTGACGTTCTCGACGCGGCGCGTTAGGTACAAGGTAGGACGACGGGCGGCGGCGGAGGCGGCAGCGGCGAATTGCTCGCGACGTTGGGCGATGATGCGTTGGACTTCTTCTTCGTAGGCGGTCTCGTAGACGTTGATGTCGACGTTGGAGGGGGATTCGGAGACGATGCAGCCGTCTTCGGGTTCGGGGAGGAAGTCTTCGCCTGTGCCGATGTTGAGGAAGAGGGTGTCTTCTAGTGGGTTGTGTGCGTGGCCTTTGCCGAGAGGTGTAGTTGGCGCTGATGATGAGGGGGCGAGGCCACCGGGAGTTGAGATGGAATGTATGGGCGCTGGCCGGATTGACATGTTCTCGTGGATGATCTTGGCTTCACTGAGACCTGGGGCCGTCGGCGTCGTCGGACTGTTAGAAGTAGATCCCTTGCTGGCTGAACGCTTCCCTGCCACCTCAGGTCGGAGACCAGGTTTGGTGTATGCCATGTCGTCCATGTTATGGGGAAGTCGCTGGCCCTTTTCGTCGATTTTGATCTGATGGTGTACACCCTCGGAGGAGAGAGCGCTCTCAACTGGTCGGCGGTCGTGTGTGTCTTGTGATTTTGATTTGCGTAGTGCTGATGGTCGCATGGACATGGGCGGCTGAACGATTCGCGAGGCACTGCCCAGTATACTTTCTATGCGGTCTGGTCGCCGTCTGAAGAGCAGCTGCTTGAACCGCTTCACTGCCCGTACCTATGCAGTTGTTAGCTCAAGAATGGCTACGATACTTTGATACCAATGCTTTCGCATGCGATAGGGAAGACGTGCACCTACCACTGTTACCAAGTGACCCATGTTGCCAGTGATGGCAGCATTGACTTCCTCATCGGTAGGCGGATCGATGATGATGGCGACGTTCTCCGACTTTGCTAATAAAGGGTCCGTCCCTTGTCGCGTGACCCATGGGTGTTCCTGGAAAGTCAGTCTTGCGCAATGAAGTTGGGCAGTCAACTCACTCTGATCTCTTCCATGGTTATCCTCTTTTTGGGGTCCTTGTCCATGAGCCTGACCAGAAGATCCTTCAGCTCGGGATTGCATTCAGTCTCAAATTCCAATGGGTCCATCCGTATCGATTGGTAAAGCTCGATCATACCGTGCTTTTCGAATGGTATACGACCGAAAAGAAGGCAGTATAGTGTGCAGCCCATGGACCATATGTCGGCGGCTCTTCCAGAAACATGGCCATGTTTGGCAACGCACAGCTCCGGGGGCATGAACGCTGGCGAACCCGCTGACTTGGCCGTCTTCATCTCGCCTTCCTTGTCGAACATTTCTGAGACTCCGAAATCGACTATTTTTAGCACGTCCTCTTCGGTGATTAGGCAGTTGTCGGGCTTGATGTCTCGATGGATAATACCCTGGGCGTGAACTGGCACGTGTTAGCATTGTCTCGCGAATGACCTAGCCTTACGTACGGTACTCGAGACCCAGTATCATGTCTCTGAACCAACACCGACACTGCTCTTCGCTGTAGGGGTCGGCACGCTCCTCGAGACCAACTTGCATGACGACACCCTTCTTGCACATCTCCATGACCATGTACAGCGAGTCCTCTTCTGGGTCGTCCAGCACCTCGATCAAGGTGACCAGGTTCGGGTGGTGCAGCTTCTTCATGATGGCGATTTCTTCCTTGATCAGCTCGAAAGCATTGTTCTCTTCGGTCACCGAATGCCGGTGCAGCGGTGAATTGAAGCCTATGCCAGCAGGGAGCGCGCGCATTCGTTTCGCAGCGGTCGGGCGGCGCAGGAGGTTGGACTGAGCGCGTTTCCGCAGTCGGGATTTGGAGAATTCCTTAACAGCCTGCGCGTTGATGCGTCAGCGAGAGCCAATGCCTGTACCTCGAGGGAACCCGCATCGTCTTATTGGGGGCATGCGCCCGGGTGGTGCCTTCTCTTTCCGGTGGAGATGTCGAGAGAGCTGGTATCCTCACATATTCTTGGCCATACTGGTCGACAGCGAGATGGACGGCGCCAAAGGAGCCGCGGCCAATCTCCTGCTTGACTAGGTACTGGTTGATGCGGTGTTGGGCGCTGCCGTCATCTTCGCTGTTGCTGTACTCGGAGCGCGCATTGAATGTTTCCTGTGCTGTTAGGGGTGGCTCAGGGTCGCAGCTTCTTCATTCAGTGGGTCGCACCTTCACACGTCTCGTTGAGGAAGCGGCGCGCTTGTGGTGTCGTAACGGGCTCTGGTATGCGGGTGTTGACCTTGACTAGCATCAGCTCCGGCCAGGACCAGCACCTCCGCGGGGTAGCCATGGCATATCCCCGGGCAACACGCACATAAACTTGACGGGGGGCGGTCGTCCGGCCTCGCTGACAGCTGGGACTTCTAGGGAGGGTTGCGATGTGTAGATGCGCAGGTCGGATTCGGATGGGCGCTTGGGTGGAGGTGTGGACGAGGGCGTGGGCGAGTGTGACATAACTACCTCGCAGTCGAGGGCACGGCAGATGCTAAGTACGTAGTTGATAAGATGGACACGGGCCTAGGAGACGGCTAGGGAGAAATAATATGGGGAAGTTCGGGGCGCTGGACTACGACGTTCCGACAGCCCAGGATGTCTTTTGCTCTGGGGCCCGACTAGGAGGGGAGCGATGCAGCAGAGAGGGGGCCTTTCCTGACATTTCTTTCAGCCTCACCCGTTGACGGGCAATCACATCACTCCCATCCACCCACCGCACTTGGCGCACGCCGTCCCCACCGTCTAGGCTCTCAGTTACCCACTTGGCTAGTGAATTGCGTATACACAGCTACGGACGCTCCTCACAAAACACGCTCCTACCTTGGCGCCATATCGCGACGCTCAATTGGCATCGGCGACCACACCCGCTTCCCTATCTCCAACACCACAAGTAGAACACCTCGCATACAACAACCTCGCCCCATTGTCGCATCCCTCCACGACGTCATCTTCCCGCAATGGTCCTCTACAGCTTCTACATCTTCGATCGGCACAGTAAGTCGTCATGTGAAGTTGCGATCACCGCTTTGTACACGCGCTGACCGCACGTGCAGCCGAGTGCATCTACTCGCGCCGCTGGACGCCCGCCCGCCCAACCTCGTCCTCGTCCAAAGCTGCCGCCCGCCCGCCGTCTGGCGCCTCCATCGCGAGCAATGGCGACGTGGTTGCTGCCGTTCGCAAGGGCATGTCGCACTCCGACGACGAGAAGCTCGTCTTTGGCCTCGTCTTCTCCCTCCGTAACCTCGTCACCAAGCTAGGTGGCGCCGACGACACGTTCCTCTCTTATCGCACCGGCGAGTACAAGCTGCATTACTACGAGACGCCTACGCGCATGAAGTTTGTCATGCTCACCGATACAAAGGTTATCAACCTACGCCAATACCTACATCAGATCTGGGCGAATCTGTATGTGGAATACGTGGTCAAGAACCCGCTTGCGCCGACGGAGCACCCTGGTGGCATTGGCGTTGCGAATGAGCTGTTTGAGCGGGGGCTGGAGGCCTTCATCACAGCGGTACTGCCAGTATGAACACGATACCTTGATTGGACTAACAAGAGCAAGAGCAAACTCGGGTAGAAAGTGATGGCACACGGCGCATCAAGGGTCTAGGAAGGCCGCCAAGTGTGTTCAGATGATATAGCTATAGAACCCTGAACAACGGCCACCCCTCACGCGAAATTGCGAGGACGTCTGCACGCAAGCAACCCACAAAAGAGCTCTGCGGTCTTCACATGGCTACCGGCCGAACGAACGAACCACCGACATACACACAAGCTTCGAGCACACCGGGAGCAGCCGAGCTACCATGCATCCCCGACGCTCCCCGCCCCACATTCATGTACACAGCCTCACTCCAAGGCGAAACTACATGACGCTATCTACGAGGCTCCACGAGCTTAGCTTGCCCGGTCGGCCTGCAGCGGGGTATAGATAGTAGACATGTTAGGATAGCAAGAGAATACACTATCCCACATATACTTTGAAGTTCACTCCATTGTGTCCTTGTCGTAGTGTTTCGAAGCTGACGTGGCATTGAGTTTACGGTAGTGTATATGGTATTTGTTTTCAAACACCTGGCTGGCACTAGTAGTGGATAGTTGAATAGATCAGTGAACAGGCGTAGTGAACTTGGGAAAAACGTCGGGCTGACTGATCGGGAGAAGAACATGTCGTGCAGGACCATCGTTTTCTACAGTCGCTCGCCGCATGGCTCCAGGCTTCATTGTTTTAAGTTTGAAAGGTGGGAATTGGCAAGTCCGCCACGGAAGAACTTTCATTTGGCGAAGGTGTGGACACTTGGATGCTGGCCATGGTTTGAACATCCAAGAGTTTCGGAACAAGAGGAGACGCAGCCATGATCCCAATTGGTGACTGTTTTGGTCTTTTGCTTCGAGGAGCGGAGAGGAGAAACAAACATGCGTGATTCCCGAACGAGTTTTATAGTCGTGGAGGACTACAGCCTACGGAAGAGTGTCGATCTGTTGGAGATGAGGAGACGAGAAGACGACCACAACTCTTTCATCGGCAGATGCTCAACCGCTTTTGAAGCTCGATCATCTTTGGGATTCGCGGTGTTTTAGAAAAAGAGGAGGAAACGATCATACCCAGGTCAGCTTCGCTTTTTGAGTATCATCAGAAGATGCGTGGAGAGGAGACGAGCATGTTGCAACGACATGTTGATTTGTGATCGGTTTAAGTAAGGGTGGAGAAGACATGTATTTTTTGAAGGCGGAGAGTGCGAGGAGAAGACCAGATCTTCTCACATGCGTTTTGATAGTCCATTTCAGAGCAAACCATCGAGTTTATCTATACTGGTTTTGGAAGGAGGGAGGAGAAAGGCATGCCCATATTTTCTGATGCTTTTAGGATGTTGGTAGGAGGAACTTAGAGGAGTAACGATCATCCTGGAAAGAGATGGGGCTTTTATGGTTGTAATCGAGCAAAGTCGGGAAGAACAGACATGGTCGTGTTCGCGACGTTATTGCGACAGAGACAGCGGCGTTCTCATTTCTTGAATGCGCGCATTCTTTCGAAGGTTGTCCAAGTGTCTAGGAGCTAACCGGTTTTTGAAGAAGAGGAGGAGCGAACAGCCATAAGATTTGAACCTTGCGCTTTTTGAAGGCCCAAAGGAAGAAATGTGGAGTATGAGAGAAGAAGAGGAGTCGCAGTAGATGCTTATATACACGTCCGTTCGGAGCCAGCGCGGCGCTCGTAAAGAGATCATGTGGCGTGTTTGATGTGCATGTATGCTAATATCCATGCTTTTTGGTGGGTGGGCGCGAGAGGTCAGTCTCTCTCATGGCAATCTCATTGCCTAGTTTCGGATGCCGATCATGACATCGTTCACTTTAGTTTTCGAAAGAGGAGAAAGAGTCGCACAGCCATGGTATTGTAAGGCCGACGTTTTGAAAGTACAGAGAAAGAAGTGTGGAACATGCGAGAAGAACACAAGCCGCCGAAGGTGTTTATATACATCCGCCAAGGCCCCACGTCATCCCCATCGCGGAAGATCATACTGCCTTTGCGTCCACATGTGCTTTCGAAGTTGAAAGTCTTGGAGGATAGAAGCGAGAGGATGGTCGTACTCATGTCAAGGTCGCAATTGTTTTTCTAGAGCCAACCATTGTGTTCATGTAATTGAATTTTGAAAGACGAGCGCAGCCATCGAAAGTCACGGCATATTTTTTTTGTGAATTCTAGAAAGAAGTGCAGACACATTTCGTAAGAAGGAAGAGTCTCAAATCGGAGTTTATATGCATGCTCAGCGCGAATCCGCTCGTTGGCTGTGTAGACGCGAGTGACCGGCTTTTATCCCACATGGCAACGAACGTGGGCGTTTGGAGTTGATCAGACGAAGGAGTCCATCTCACTCATATTCACGGTTGATTTGAATGTCGAGCGCCGATCATAACAGCATCACATATCTGTTTTGAGAGACGGATACAGTCATGAATTCGGTAGACATAGTTTTGGTAAATACTGAAGGAAGGGAAGATAGGTGTAATGAAGAAGCAAGCAACTTGGTAGAGTTTATATACGCAACAGGCGAGTCACTGCTCAGTGCTCATGGCTAGCTCTATCTTCACTTTTGGTTCGCACATTCCTAATTTGATCATTCGTTTCGGTAATTTAGAACCAGTCGCCCACCTCATGCATTCGGCTCTCATGGTTATGTTTCGGATGCTAGCCATGAATCGCAATGCATTTGTTTTGGGTAAGGAAGAGAAGCACACAGCCATCAATCCTAACTCCATACGTTTTGGAAATCTGGCGGTGGGAAGTACAAGAAGTTGTAGAAAGAGGAGGATAAGTCCCAGGACAGGATATTTATACGCAGAGCTGGCAGACTTCCCAGTGCTCATTTCTGATCTTGTACATGGTTTCAGCACATCGTGGGCAGCGTTCGGCTTTTCGATTTCGTGACTGTTATCGACCGGATTCATGATCACGCTCATAAATCAAATATCTCCCGACTTCAGTCATCGGTAATTGCTTTGTCCTTTTAGAAGAGAAGGGCACACTCATATGGTTGGACGCTCTCCATTTTGGAAGTTCGCAGTAAGAGTGCGAATGATAGTGAAAAGAACAACACCAGTCGTAGATCTTGCATTTTATAAGAGGACGGCACTATATCCATCGCGACAAACACCGTCGACTTCCGCACATGAAAGCCTAAACTGCAGCTTTTTGTATTTGCATACGACAGTGTGATTTTGCTCGTGTGATAACTTCTTTCATGCTTTGACGATCGTCATATGATGGGGGCTGTGCTGCTTTGGAGAGAAGAGAAACCCATGAGACGGATTCTGGGCATTTTGGAAGCCGAACAGGATGATTGTGGTGGAGAAGAGAGGCCAGGAGTTATCGTTTTATACACAAAATGCGTGACACCATGGCCGAGCGCAACGCCAGCTTCTAGACATCGGCGCTGTCGTTTCTTTCTTCCAGAATTCCAGTCGGAAGGCCGTTCCTGCTCATGTATGTGTTTCCTGTCCTATTTTGGCGCTCGTCGTAAAAATCTTAACCCGTATTTTTCGGGGAGGAGAAAAGGACCTACATGACGGAGTAGATCACTGTTTTTGGTGTTTGAGAAGGAATAGTATGGAGGGGAAGAAGAGCCAGAAGCTGTGATTGATATGGACAAGATGAGTGGAGCCATCCCGAACTTTATGACTTCTTTCTGCACATCCACAATGCAGGCATGTGTTTTGAGAATTCGAGCAAGACGTCAGTCTCACTCATAAGTGGTTCGTACTCTGATTATGATAACTGCCATAACACCGGTAAACTAACAAGCAGGCAGGGAGAAAGCAGCCATCAATGGGAGCTTCCAAAATTTTGGATTTTGGTATCTCGTGAGAAGAAGTGTAGAGAAGAAGTGATGAGATAGTAATGAGGGTCTTAAATGCGCTGCAGCGAAGCTTGCCGCAGTTCACATCCCATTCTCTGGTGTTGCGCT